ACCCTCGGTGCTGTCAGCTGCGCTAGAACGCGGTGCCGTCGCCGTTGTATCCTCCTTCTTGTCCTGATCATCACTCTCATCGTTGGCGACAGCGACGGGGGACTGCTGCTGTTGTTGTTGTAATTTCTGCATGTGTAACTGACTGCGTAACTTGGTGATTTCACGAGCGTCCGATTGTCGATGACGTCGCAGCTGCGCGTTCTCCAACGCCACGCGACGTGCCAACTCTATCACGTCCTGTGGCACGTCCAGGGCCCTCAGCCGCTCCTCGAGATCCGCCGCCGCGGTGCCGTCCGTGTCGGAATCGCTTTCCGATGGCGAAGAGGTACCGACCTCAGAAGAGATCGCCAGTGGTGTAGGTTCCACGCTCACGGTGGATGACGTCACTGCTGCACTGCTCTCCTCTTCCTCACCTTCCTTCTCCTTCCTTTCTTTTGGCGGGGCCGCCTCCTTCTGATTTTCCTCGGAAACGTAGTACAGAGGATAAGAATCGATCGCCGGCGCTTGACTCGGCGATGTTTTCTCCGTTTTAACGTTGACGGATAATAACTCCTGTTTCTCACACGTGGGACTCGAGGAGTGGTGACTGTGACGGCGATGCTCGTGATGATGTCGTCGTTGCTGATGAACAGACGAAGGTGGCGGTATCTGACCTATTTGTGCGGGTGCCGGTATAGGCGCCAGCGCCACATTAGGTTGGAAATGCGGCTCGAAACGCTCACACTCCGAAAGCGGAATGACTCGCTCCGGATGTTGCAGTACAGGTGGACCTCGACTCAGATATGCAGGCACCAACGATGAACTGTTGACAAAGGCGATCCTCATCTCAACTGTCGCCTCTGTGCATGATTTCTAACAAAATATACGTAAACGATACTTACTTGTCCCTGTGCTTGCAATTGCCCGTAGCATTCCAAGGCTGAAAGGCTGCACCTCTGGCAGCGAGCTCGAAAACCGCCCATTGCATCTGCAAGTACGAATCAGTGGCAATTTGGGATACAGGATGGTACATTGCCAGTCCATTGCCATTGTAGATTCCAGCGCAATCGTCCTTTCCTATTTCCTTCTTTGTGCGTTTGACCAATCTCTCGTGCTCATGTCTCAGCTAAAACAAATATTTGGACTTGTATATACTTTTTTTTAGATATATTAAGATCAAGTGACGTTAGACTTAATTTTATATATTATTTTAATATACACATTTTTAACGTCAAAATTACATTCTTATTTTTAATGATAAAACTTAAGTGACAATACCTCTAGTTTTCGCTTGGAATTTAGCACAAGATGCCTCTCTTTCAGCTCCCGAAAAAGAATGAGCGATTTGTTGTAATGTTGCTGATCACGAGAGAGCAAAAGATACGACCGCCAGTTGGCGGAATCGAAACCCCAGTGGCAAGTGCGATTCTCGAGAGATCTGTGAGCGTGTCTCACAAAGCGTTGAGGAGAGAATTGGTAGCCACACTCCAGACACTCAATGCACACTGAATCGTCCGTCTCGAACAGTTTCGCATCGAAGATACCCTTGCACTTGCCAAAACATTCGTGGTACACTTTAAACTTAACAATCGCCTCTTCCTCCTCCTCGTTCTTGCACGTTTTCTTATCAAGACAGTCCTGTGTTGGACCGATCTGGGAAGGATCGCAGGATTCTGTCCGTAACAGCAAAGCACTGACGAGCCTTTCGGCGTCGGTCTGAGTGATGAGACCACAGGACGGCGCGTTGCGCGGCAAGATGCCGGAATGCTTGAGCTCCTCGAGCTGATCCCGAGTGCAGCGTGAACAATAAATCTGTAGCTCGTCGCACACCTGATTGATTTGCTGCAGGGAGAAGTCCTGCAGCACCGTGTTCAGTATCTGCGGCAGGCATAATCTTCTCTCGCCGCCCACTACGAAGCACGAGATCCTCTCCCCCTCGAGGATCGTCTCGCATCTCTCGGAGCAGCTCTGATCAGGTGCTGTGAGTATCGGTATCTGAAACTCGAGCTCACGCTTCTCGCACAGGACCTTCGGACGATCCACTACCGCGGGACGATCCTCGTCCGAGTCCTCCAACGAGCGGGGTGTCCCCTTCGGGACAGGCGTCAACGTGCGTCCCGACGTCTCGCGAATCTCCTTCTCGATTACGTCCTTTAACGGTTGCGACTCCACGGGTGATTCTAGGCCACAGTTGGCTGCCGAACGACTGACAGCGGGTGGCGAGAAGCACGACTGTTGCTCGTGCAGGAGGGCTTTACAATCCAGCAGAGCCGAGCTGGGACCCTGTAGGCTCTTGATGGCTGACAGCTGATAGGTCTTGAGGACGGTCTTCAACTGCGGACTGTACGACTGGCCAGCGGCGGTGCTGCCTGGCAATAGTGTCTCCATTGTGCACGGGTATTCAACAAGCGTACACCCCCCGGAGGAAAGAAGACAATCAGGATTCGGAGTACTAAGCGCAATCACCGCCACTCCAACGTATGCACTTCCAACGTTGTTGAACAGCGGTGAATCTCAGTGCACTCGATATCGCTTTATATACATGCAACTGATGTACAGAATATATTATACTTTGACCGTCCACGAGTTTATTTATGTCGCGAATGACGGAGCAGCGGGACCGGGCACTAGCACGACAACTGGCGCGACAACTCGGCTTCCTCGCGATTCCACTTCCATGTTACTCGGGCCCAGCGCGTAGTCGTCGTCGCCGTCGTCATCGTCATCGTCGTCGTCGTCGTCATCGTCCTCGTCGTCGTCCTCGTCGTCATCATCATCGTCGTCGTGGTCATCATAGTAGCGCGATCTCCGTTGCATTCCTCGCGTGTTCTACCATGAAGTGGATGGACGGACACGAGTCCATCCTCTTTGAACGGAGTTTTCTAACCCGCGCTCTACGAGGCCTTCCTCGGTCGCTCTTCTCTCTCTTTCTCTCTCTTTGTGACGCACACACGCACTCTCTCTCTCTCTCTCTCTCTCTTTCGCTTCGCTCTCGTCCGGCACGAGTGACGAGAGGCCGAGTTACACGCGTATAACCCGTTCGCGCGTCCTTCCTTCCTTCCTATGTCCGCCCCTCCCGCCGATGCATTACGCGTCGCCGATGAAGACAACGATGCGACTACCACCGCGACCCGCGATCCCGCGTTGCCACCACTTCCACGTACAACATGATAAAGCCGCTCGTCGTCCTCTTTGTCTGCGATCCTCTCTCTCTCCTTCTTCCTCGCGCGTGCTTTCGCGGAGATCGTACGCAGCGAGCGCCGTCCTCCGAACGAACGAACGAACGAATGAACGAGAGAACCTGCTCCTCTCCGGCCTCCGCGAGCGAGTTCCCTCCGATTCTGTCGCGAACTCCCTTCTTGTTCTCTCTGCTACCGCCCTCTTCCTCCTTCACCTCGTTGTCTTCTTCTTCTTCTTCTTCTTCTTCTTCTTCTTCTTCTTCTTCTTTACTACCACCGCCTCCTCCTACAGCGGCGACGGCGGTTTTCAACGCGACGTTCTCTCGCAGCCGCAAAGTCGATGCGCGACGAAAGCAGCACGGTCACACGAATACACGACGGGCCAACGATCCATAGCCAGAGTCTTACCTTACAGTCTTATCGAACGCAATCTACGGACAACGAGAAATGGCACATGATTTATATACACACATACACACACACATATATATATATATAAGTATGCGTTGTCTATTTATTTTTCACGTCCAAGTATCGCTGTACACGCGAGCGTTTTTTCTATTTATCATCTCTCTCTCTCGATCCGTCAATCGAGCACAGCGCACTGGTGTCGCGGACAGTGCATGTTATCAGCGTCCGCGTCCTCGTCGACGACGTTCCCCGCCGAGCGCGCCAACGCGAGCTTCCTCCTTCTAGCTCCTCCTCGTTCTTCTCTTCCTCCTCCTCCTCCTCTTCCTCCTTCTTCTTCTTCTTCTCCTCTTCCTCCTTCTCCTCCTCGTCGTCGTCGTCGCTGTCGCTACTGGCGTCGCCGACGATCGCTATCGGGACGCCGCGCCACCGCGCGCGCCAACAACAACGAGGATGTCGCCGATGATACGTCCGGCGAAAATATTATCGCATCACTGGAGCACGACCACCAGCATGGCTGGCATCGTCAGACGAGCGATTTACTCGTCGGCACGTCGCGACGCAATGGCGTATCGATTCTACTGACGGCGGCGACGGCGACGGCGACGGCGACGGCGGCGGCGGTGGTGATGGTGGTGGTGGCGACGGCGGTGGCGGTGGCGGCGACGGTGGCGGAGCACGCACCGTATGATCGTGAACAAGACAACGACGGATAGCGGTCACTCGCGGCGACCGGAGCACGCATATTTCTTACCGCGCCGCGAGAGAGGCTGACTGCAATCCCGAACGACGTGGAAACACCGATGGACCATCCGTTGATGCGAGAGCGCACGCATCAAGAGCTGCGACGCGAATATTTTTCTGTCGTTCCCTCTCACTCCCACCACACTCTCTGTTTCTCTCGTTCTATGCACAGACGCTAACGAGACAACGGCAGACTCAGCGATATATACGTATGTTTTTTTTTTTCACGCACGCACCTCCTCGCCCGCCGCGCTTTCGTGGACGACGACCGTGTAGATGCCGTCCTGTCCTCCGTCATCTCTTTTCCGTTTCTCTCTCTCTCTCGCTCCCACTCCCGCTCCGCGAAGTCTTTTTTGCTCTCACGCGCGAGCGGAGGGGCCCTTCTCCTTCTCGCTTTTTTGCTCTTCCTCCTTCTCTCTCTATCTGTCTGTCTGTCTGTCTGTCTGTTTCTCCCTGGCGATGTCCGCGCCTGTAGTCTGTACACATGCGCGCGCGACCGCGTAAACACGAGGCGAGAGTCGGAGACGGCGGAGCCCTTGAGAGAGCGAGACTGTCTCCTCTCATGCACACACATTGCACAGAACAACATACACACGTGCACGCATACACTCACTCTCGCTTCCCGCTGTGTGCGTACGCACGTCGTACACGTGTACGTCGCGCTTTCTCAGTGTGGGTTTTCAACCGGCTCAATGTACCGCGTGGCGAGAAAATAAGGACTTTATTTCACTGGTGTTTACTTACAACATGATATCTCTTTTCCAATTTCTTTCCATCCTTTTTGATTCAACATAGCTTTCTGCATTTAGTCTAAAAGCTGCTTTGCAACTATCATAGGATATTTTTCAATGTAATAAATTTATGTTTACACTTTCAGGATCCAGTGAACAACTAATTATATTAAAGAATCTTATCGTCTTATAAATATTATTATTTATTCACCAACAGCGGAGACTCGTATAAATATTTTACTTTTATTTAATTTATTCTTTGAAGCCATATAAAAACTATTTTTATTTTAAAGAATCTTGCAATGCTATTTTTTCTAATGAACGCAATCAAAAAGTTAAATATCTTAAGTCCGATTGTACCGATATTACTTTGATTTTAAGCAAGGCTTAAATTCCTCTTTGTCTCTTTTCCGATTTTAAAACAGAGGACAATAGAAATATTCTCTGAACGTCCCTTGGAGAGATCTTGTGGTATATGGAAATATAGTTCATCTCCGATTGCTTACGAGAAAAGAATTCTCTCTTTTCGTTTTTAAATCCTCATAGTCTCTTTAGAATCCTACGTTTTTCATTAGCAGAACTAGTGCGCACTCAGTGCATATTAAAGTTGTCGTACACTCTTTATTCTAATCTAAATCTAATCTAAACAAATCTAATCTAAAAATGAGATATCTCAATCGATAAAATGCCCAATATGTATTTTATCAAATAGCACAATAAAATGTATTGAATATCTCGCGGTTTAATTCGTTTCTATGTTTTTATTAAACATACATCTTTATGTTGATTTGTGAGTACAACGGTTTTGTCAAAGCGCACTAGTTCTGCCCATGAAAAACGCTGACTTTTCAGTCACCCGGTATGTGCACGCGCGCGTTTCTGCACGCATGCCTCGGTGTGCGTGCCGCGAGCTCTGCTCGGTCGCGCGCACGCGTCCGCTCGGTGGTAAAGAATCACCGTAAACTCCGCATGCCTGTCTCGTTCCCCTCTACGAGCATCGCGGCCGTCGCCGCCTCGGCGGCGACGACAACGACGACGACGACGACGACGTCGGCGGCCACTCCTCCCTTTCTTCCCCCTTCTCGCGACAACCGGCCACCTACTGCGCACCACCGCGCCTGTCGCGAACAGTGCTGGAGCAAGAAACCAACAGTCTCATGTCACTACATTAATTGTCATGCAGAATCCGTGGAAAATTCTCTGGAATAGTATTATTCTATTCTATTTTCGAATTACCGGAAATTCCTTGCAATCTTAGTATCTTGATTCCTGCAAACGTTTTAACTCCTTATGCTTTGTTTCTACAGCTATAACTTGTGGATCTGGTGTTTGGAAGGAAGAAATCTGCTCGGAGTACTCGGGATAATACAGTATTGTGATTTATTGTCTTTCAGATTCCGTTCAGTCCAGGACAAGAATGCAGGAAAACAGAAAACAGATAAGGATGATGTATGAACTTTCAGGACACAATAAACCAAGGAGTTTCATCGAAGCCACGACATCTAAAAATATGATATACAGTAAGAGAAAGCAGAGACCAAATTACGGAAGAATAGTGTTTTACTCTTTTATCAAAGGGACCCACGATATACGAATTTCTCTTGTCTCCGTTCATCTCACGGTCCTGGCCACGCATCCCTGTGGTCCCCTGGTCCCCTCGCCGCGTCGCGTCGGCCAAGGAGAGCAGGTGTGTGCGCGTCATACGCGTGTGTAATGTGTACGGTGTGTACCAATCCACACACACGTGCAACGCGACGTAGGCCGCAACGCGCATAGCTCGGTTACGACGCGCGGTCGGCGGCACGCGTCTGTGTGAATCGGACGCCGACAGCCGTCTAGTCATGTGACCTTCCCGTCAAAATAGCCTGCGTACCTCCCCGCGCGTTACGCACACAATCACACGACTGACGGCGGCGGCACGCTGCACACGCATCCACAAACGACGACGTGGAGGCGCGGCCGCGGCGTGCGCGCTCTTTGCTATCGTTGCCATCTTGTGTTCATTGTCAGGGACGGCACGAGGCTCTGGTGTTGACGATAACGTGATGACGCGTTCCGATCTTCCGGGGAGCAGCCCACTCCGTTCTTAACGGCTTGTGAAAATGAGAAAGATCGTTAACTAAATTCCGAGAATATTATTTAGATATTTAGAGGCGGTCTTCGTCGTCTTCTGAAAATGTTAAAATATAGAATGTAATTAAATGATAAGACGACAGAAATAGCTTTATCAAGTAATTAAGTTGTTAAAATAGACGAATGCGGATCCATGATTTTAACATGTCTATTGAATAATAAATAGTATGCAAAGTAGAATAAATATTGTATACCCATTTATTATTCCCCTGCTCGCTCGGAATTTTAAAAACTTAGTCAAATGTAAATCATAGAATATAATTTGTACAGAATAGCTTTATCATATACTATAACTTATAAAAAGTTATAAACTCTTAATAACTTATAAACTCTATTATTTTTGTATTACTTAATTTCTATGCCTGTTTTATTTGTCCTTTTTCGACGTCTTGCCTTTCTTCTTCTTGCTGGGCACTTTCTTAGCCTTCTCTTCCTTCTTGTCTTTCGATTTCAATTTATTTTGTTTTCGTTTATGCAGCACTTTCTTTTTCTTCTTCTTTGCCGAAACTTCATCCTCCGACGATGATGAAGAAGAATCGGTTGTCGTCGAACTAGACGGGCTGGAACTGGATGACGAGCTGCTAGACTCGTCAGAGCTCAAGGGTTCTTCTTCCTTAGTAATTAATGTCGGCACAACAACTGGCTTCGGATGGGACTTTAAATGTTCTCTCAAATCGTCTGTCAAACCACCCAAGCCGATCGACGTAAAGAAGTTTATCGCGAAACGCGTGTTCTTTGGATCATCTCTGGGGAACAGTCCTTCAAACACTTCCTGCAACGTTACATCTTTAACCCGTTCGTTCAGCTTTGCCAGACCCATGTACTCGGAGAGCTCCTGAAACAAGATCTTGATAAATATTCTATTGGAACTCGTGGTGTCTTCCTCGTTCAGTTTTATGCACGAAAGTACGCTCCACGATATGGAATCTGTAAATAGTAAATGCGCGAAAAATTTCGATACGTTCCGTAATTTGTTCGTGTCGAGGCGGTGTATCGTATGATAAGAGTCTTTGAAAATCTGCTCGAACGGCGTCACATATATTTTATTAATGGCGCAAAACCGACCGGCCAGGAGGCCGAAGAACTTCTCATACGTCCGCATTTCCGCGCAACAGTCCAAAAACATATGACATAGCTCGATCTCCTGCCCAGGTTTCAGTTGCATTTTCATCAATTTATGCGCACACTCCTCGAAATCGAGCGAAGAGTGTATAGTCAGATATATAGTCCGTCGAAGTGCGGTCAGATTTGTTTCCGTATTGTCGAGGATCACTCCTTCTTTTCCCTCGGTCTGTTCCGTGCTGCTGTCGTTGTCCGAGCTTTCCTCTTCTCCATCTTCGTCGTCGCCTTCAGAGTCACTGACATCCGAACCAAGAATTTCTTTACACAACTGCTTGTACTTCTCTTCGGAGGCAAGATAGTCGGTGTCAAATTTGAACACGTTTAATATATCTTGCGCTTCCATCTCGTCATCCAATCTAATCAAATGAGTGATTTGATGTTCCTCCTCCACAAGATCCAGTTCTTCGGGTACAGCTTCGTGATCTTTAAATCCATCCTTCCTGATTTGGAACATAACTTCTATCATATACTGGACTCGCTTATCCAATTGTCCCTCGTGCAGTATGTTTCTCAACATTTCAAAAATAGCCTCGATACCCCTTCGCGAAACCTCTGTCAGTTTCATACCACATTCCTTCAAAAACGCAATGGCCACTTCGACGGAATCGTCGGTTGGCGTCTCCAGCAGTAGAGTCAAGATTTCCAAAGCGATAATCTCATAAGCCACACGCTGGTTAACCAAATGCGCTATAAAAGTTCCTGAAGAAATACACAAAGGCTTATCATTCCTTTTGAATCCACGTTTGAATTGCAGAACAAGCCGTTTCAGCACCAGCTCGCCTATGTTAGGAAACTTGGAATTGATTATAGATGTCAGTGCTGCGTAAACTGGAGTAAATGTTGGAGACGCAGCTTGTGCCTGAATAATAGACCGTGCCAACAGACCTCTACCTCGGACGATGTTCTCGCGCAGCAGCTCCCGCGTTATGATCCCGATGTTGCTGGTGTTCACTTTATTGATGTATCCGTGAATAGATTTCTTCAACGCTTCCCAGGCAATACGTTGGTAAGCGGCTCCTGACTTGTCAGTGATCTCCGCTTGGAGCATACGCAATTTGGCAGGTGGGATGTACGCGCCTCCCGTTCTCGAGGTCAAAAGATCTACCGTCCGCTTCTGCTTGGCATCCTCCGGATTCTCCCGCGTTTTATCCGGTTCTCCATAATACCTGTTGCCGATTTCTTCCCGTAGCGAATTCCGCTTCCCGCCTGCTTCGCCGTCGCTGTCCCTGAGATCTCCACGATCGTCGTTGTACCTACGATCTCTGTGATCGTCGCGTCGGGAGCTCCGATGATCGTCATCGCGCTTGGAACCGCGGTAAATGTCGTCCCGCTTGGAACTCCTGTGCTCGTCATTGCGTCTGGAACTCCTGTGATCATCATAGTGCCTGGAACTCCTATGATCGCCGTTATGCTTCAATTCTTTGGAGTCGTCATATTTGCGGTCTCTGCGTTTACGAGAACGTTCCTCGTTCTCGTCCTCGTCCCTTCGTGAATGCGATCTCTTCATCTTGAACTCGTATAACCTCAAATTGTCTCCGCCGCGGCAGCTCCGCAAATTTTCAACGGCTGTGTACTCGCAATTAGGTTATTCTGTATACATGCAATAATTACTTGATTATGTACTGTATATTATATACTTTTAATTACATCGTGGAATATAATTTACAGAGGTGCGATGAAGGAATTTACTCGTTTCAACTTTCGATCACTCAAAATCAACTCAAATCTTTCTAGGCGACAGGCACTCAGAAAACATAACCATAATCCCAATAATCACATATTTTAGTTATTTTTCTAAATGTACGCGATAGTCAGAAGATGTCGCTCCGGTCATTGCATCAATTCGCGCCAATTTCAATTTAAAGTGAATTTTTTTAAATTACGGATCGACACAATTGGATAAAACAAGTGTCGCTACTCGAAAATCACTACTTTCAGATAAAATATATAACGCAGCAGTAATTTCAAAATATGAAAATAACAATAAAAAGTTAAAATAAAATTTTATTTCTTACAAAGCTGTGAGAATCGAATCTTACAATTTTACTCATAAAAATCTTATAAGAAAAATATAATAAAGTTATATTATAATAAATAAAATTATCTGCTTCTTACTCATATATATATATATATATGAGAAAAATATAATTGATCCATTTTTCTCATAGAAGCAATATTATTTTTTAATGATATTTTTGTACTTATTTTTATGAAACTACAAAGATCTGTAGTTGCATTGTATTAATGCAATTACATGTATCATGTCATATCATATTTCCTGCTCCTTAATATAAATAAATATTAAAGAAATAAAATTAAACATAGAAATAGAAATTTTAAATAACATATAAATAAGAAATAAGACATTCTGTCTCTTTTCCTAATTTTTTCATTTTTTCAATATTTTATAACAATTTTTGTTTTTAATATTTTTTCCATTATGTATAGGATTTAAATCAATATGGCAATTTAGTGCTGCATGCTTATTGATCCAAATGATCTTATCCAGCAGTGTTATATACTTATTTGATATGTGAGAGTCCTTATTATATGTTAGTGACAGAAACTCTCTAATAAAAGTCACGACATGAGAAAGTCATTGATCTGATTGTGTTTCAGGAACTCCCGTCTTATATTTGTATACCTATTTATTCATATTAATTTTAAATTTCAATAATATAATTAAAATTAGATATTTTAAAGACATTAACAAATAAATTTCTTTATATTACGTGTCGAAATAATACATATGAGAAGAATTGTTTTCTAGTTTATAATACCTTTTTTTCTTACAAAATTATTTAAAAAATTTAAACATTTTATCGTATCTTCAAACAAAGTTAAAATTACAAAAGTGAACAAGTTTATTGGAATATTTATAATTTTATTAGTACCTATAATAAATTTATCTAATAAATTTACCAGTTCTGTAACTTTCACACACACACAATCAAGATATGCAATCATATACTCTGATATGTAAAAAAGTGTCGCGACTCTTATTAGAGAGTCTCTATATTTGTCTAATGTCATCAATTTAGCTCCTAAATTGAAGGCTTATTTTCACTTTATTTATTTTTTGCAAAATTATGTTTTTCTCATAACTTTCTTTCATGAGAACTTGTTAATCACGAATGTTCTGCAATACCGATAGATTATATGAGTTTCTCGAATATACCGCCAAACTCTGCGCTTTACTCATCACTGTAATAATAGAAAATTTGAGTTCTGGGCTTCACGAAAATAATTATTTTTTTAAGAGAGAAAGAAAGATTTATGCGTGTCTAAACGAATGTATGAGAACAACAGAAGATTAAAACAATGGTTGTGATATCAAGGATTTTCTCTCGCGATTACGGTAGACTGCAAGCAGCGAAAATAATACGTAGGTTATGTTAGATTTTGATCACATTCTATCCTGTGCTTTTTCAATCTTTCTCAATTTGCTGCATAATAGCGAAACAAATTTATTAAATTACATTACCGACAACAATGACATTCACAAAAGTGAAATTAAATTTTCCTAAAGTTTAAATTTTTTATTTTATTGTTTCAAAAGATTTAAAAGATTTGTTATAATAGGGATAATCGTTATGATTAAAATGAGAGTAAACACATTTGAGATAAATTTTCACAATTTAAAAAATATGTTTTACTTTGTGCCATTCAATTATTTCTAAATTTTTTCATTTCTTTCTATCTTCTCTTTTGTAATGTTGAAGAATTTGATTGTTATATGATAATATTAAAGCACGTTTTGTTCTTATCTATACATAATCTAATACATAAAAGTAAATCTATACTTAATCTATACATAAAAGTTTTAATTATTAAGGCTACACAAAGTTATTTTTTTAGGCTATGCAGTTAGAGGAAATTCCTCTACAACCACTCAAGATTTAGTACAAGAATCGCAAAATAATAAGATACCAGAACAAAACATTGAACAGAAGAAAGCGATACCTGATAGGTATCGATTCATATATCCTGAATTTTTACCAGATCCAGATCCCAAGTATCGTAATTCACTCCGAGAAAAGTTGGAGCGCATGGATATGATAGCAAGGCGCACGCATGTAGCGATACCCGAATTCTATGTTGGTTCTATATTAGCTGTAACTTATTCTGAACCACACGCTCCTGGAAAGGTTAATAAGTTTGTTGGCATATGTATCGAGAGGAAAAGAACAGGCTTGAGAGCTACATGTGTACTGAGAAATATGGTCAATAACCAAGGAATCGAAGTAAACTATGAGTTATATGATCCTGCAATACAAAACATAGAATGTCTTAGGTAAATATAATTATTGACTGCATTCAGCAGAACAGACAGCTTTGCAACTGTTGTAAGATTCTTTGACATAATTGGTTATACATTTAAATCCAGTGAAGAATTGGGGGTAAGATCTAATCATATTTAAAAAATCTTACAATATTTGTGTATGCAAAACTGTTTTTTCTGTTGTTTACATTACAACAGTTATTTACATAAATTGCTCTGAAATGTTTCTTTTCGATGATTCTACTCATGATACATATTTAGGCTTGAAAGAAGATTGGATTCGCATCTACGATATCTGCGAGACGCACCAGCAGAGTATAGTACCTTCCCTTTTGACATGGAACCAGAGTATTTGCCAGAAGGTGCACCAGTGCCTGTGAATAAGATCAAAGTGCAACTTAATCCTCGTCCATGGTTAGAGAAATGGGAGCGTCAAGAGTTGAAAGGTATAACAGAGTTACAGCTTCCTGAGAGACGCATTATGAAAGCTAAAGCTGCAGCAACACCTTGGGAAAAATATGATTTAATGAAAAAATACCGGTAAGAAAGCAGGACACATATATCTTTTTGTAATATTCTTTTTAACGATTATTTGTTTTAACTTATATCTTTTTATTTAGGGAAACTATCCCCGAGGAAGATCAAAATGAAATATTTAGTGAAGTGTATACAAAATTACACAAAATAGAAATTACTAAACGTAGGCAAAAACACAAGCGCACTTTCGAACGTCCGCAGAAAACTGAATAAACTTTTGATTATGTACAGCATTTTTCAATCCGTATGAGGAATTAAAATGAAATAAATATATTTGTTTTTTGTTACAATTCTATATCTTTGTAATGATATCCGCATCGTTATTATAATCCAGTATCATAATTGTCATAGAAAAAATTAGAATTTTATACAATTATTGAATTCACATGAGTGAAAAACTCCATATTTGGTTAAGGAGATTCTTCGTGTCTAATATTTCTTGTAAATTTATACAATTTCCAGATCAAGTTAATTGCACGCCGATTATTTCGGAGGGTTAAGATGCTTATTAACATCAAATCATTATTTGCAATAATAATATTAAATTATTTATTTGTGATATTACTATTCTTGCTTTGGTTTAGGACTGTGTTTCAAACTGACGTATAAACAATAGCTTGATTTGGAAATTATATAAAATCATAAAAAATATTATTAGGCATGAAAGACCACCTTGACTGAATACACCTTGACGTTTTTCACTCATGTGTATTTAAGCTTATAGGTCTATTTTCACTTAATATTAATTACTGAGTT